GAAAAGACATATTATTGATAAGATGGCAATAGTACACAATGCAATGTGGAAATTCAATGTGTTCCCGAGGAAATTCACAAAGGCCTTTGGAAAGAAATGCACAATAAAGTGAAACTAGTGAACACCCAAGAAGCCCACTGGCCTTATTGGTAGAGCGTTACTCCCTGGGAAAACAGACGTGCCTCACACAAAAGCAAAACGACAACCAGAAAACTCCAGACCCCCCCGGCTCCCCCACTGCTAGCAGGCCTGCCCAGGTGACACAACCCAAGGATCTGCTGGTGCCTGTGGGGCACACCTGGGCCTGAGCACAGAAGGAAGCCACCGAGCCACATGTGGAGGAGCATGAAGCCCACAAAGGCACTGCACCCCTTGGATCTCCCCAAGCCCCATGAGGGAGGCGGGCAGGAACCATCACCAAGAGAAAGCACAGGAAGCTAGAGCGCATGCAAGCAGGGGAGGGGCAGCAGGCTGCAGGCCTGCCCAGCACCCCCCGCCCCAGGGCACCACCTACCACCACGCACAAAGGCCCACCGACAGGGACACACAGGGCCGAAGTGAAACCGTGCGTTAAATCCAGGAACCCAGACCAGGAAGAGCCACAGAAAAGAGCCCAAGGCCCAACACCCACTCAGAAAGAGCCACCAGGGACCAACGAGGGGCCCACAGGAACAGGCAGCACCAGGCTGTACACCCCCAGGTCTAAATACCCTTGAATGGTCACATCTCCCAGAACTGAAATTTAAAGTAGAGGAAAAAACCAACTCCAGGAAATGGGGCGGGAACCAAACAAAGTGAAGAAAACATGCCGGCTCCTTGCCGCCGCTGTCAGACTCCCACCGACCCCCTCCTTCCCGCAGAGCTGACTCATTACCCTAAAATCGAGGCCCGGAAAGGCTTCACACAGAAACCCTCAGGCTACAGAGGAGCAGTGTCTGGCCCAGTTAAGCTTCCAGAAAAGCCTGGAGAGGTGGGCGTCGAGGTGAGGGCAAGTCCCAGCCCCTCCGCAGGGCTGACCCCTCGCTTGGAGGAGGTGTCCCCACCGGCCTGCCCTCCGGGAGGCCCAGGGCAGCGATGCTCAGACCCCCTCCTCCCCGCCCTCGGAATCTGCCACTCCGCTGTGCGTCATGATTCCTCAGGAAAGACGATGGGCGGGAGGAGGGATTCCTCGTTCTAACGCGGAACCAAACGTGCTGAGTTTTACTTCTCCGCCATCTTAGAGAGCATCCCTGTGATTTACTCCGACATGTAAGGACCACGTCGTCCTGAGCAGAGCACACATCCGGTCCCCCTCTAAGATGGGACGGGCAGGGTTTGCAAGGCACAGTGATGCCCCCTGCCCCCCGAGGAAGCAGGAAGGTCAACAGCAGGTCTCCCTGCTACTGTAAGTGGAAAACACATCAGTGTCCCCCTCCGGGGCAGCCAGTGTCCACCCAGGACCCACTTGCAGCTCAGTCCCCATCAGCGATGGACAGTCCTCCCCAGCCACGCCCACTGAGCCCTTCGCAGCCAAAGGCGCAGGCTCCCCATTACGCCAGCGGCACCCTAGAATAAGCAAAAGGCATCTGACTTCAGATACAAAGGTACATATACCTCAGACGCTGATTAAGAAAGTCAGGACAGTCGAAAGGTAAGCAGGAGGCGCGGGGAAGGCCAGCCGGAGACCCCTGCTGCAGCATCCCGGAACTTTCAGGCTGCCATCTACCCAGGGCTGAGGGCCAAAGGCGAGGGCAGCCAGCAGGCCCTGTGGACGCTGCGTGGGGTGACGTGAGCTCCTACAGTGGCGCACCATAAAGGGACAGGCACCGACACAATGCCGGCAGTGGGAAGGGCAGGCAGCACTCTGATCACACTGGGCCCCGTGAAACACAGCGTCCAGGCCCCAGAAACACAACTCCGCTCCGAGGAGCACAGTCACATGAAATGGCACTCACAGGTCCCTCACCTCAACAGAGGCCTGGCCTGGCCCTGTGCCGTGGGGCCGGTGCAGGCACAAGAGTGGGGCAGAACATGGAGGAGGGGAGAGCCCGCGGTCACCAGGCCCTGAAGACACCTCAGTTTAGCTCAGCAACATTCACGTAATGACACAGGACCCCAAAGGGAAACAAAGGTAATGGGACATGGTCCCTGCCTTGGGGGAACTTGCAAACCACGTAGATGAGGTGTGCAGTCAGCCAGCCCAGCCCACCCGGCACCTCCCCTCGGCTGGGATGGCCCCACCTCCTAAGCCTGGAGCCTCACCCTACTGGTAACCTTAGAGACATCACCTCCTCCCTGAAGCCTTCCCTGACACGTCCTGGCCCTCCTCAACAAGACTGAACTGGGACTTCTACCCGTGGGTGCTTCTGGGTCCTGTCCATCACTCCAAGGCTCCATTCCACCCAGGGAGGTGAAAGACTCAGATCCTTGTGTTTCCCCACTAGACTGCCTGCCAATCAACACATCTGCGCCAGGCCCTGCCCAGTAAGAATGAGGGCTGACGTGGTCGTCTTAGCGCCAACACCGAGTAAGCCATCCCCACGACTAACAGCCCACCAAGGGAACTGAACACAGGCCCACGAGTTCTGCGCACCACTGCCAGCCACCGGTGGGGTCGGCTCCCTGAGAGGCCACCTCGGGCTCCAGAGCGGCCCTCTCCCCCTTGGCACTGTGCACGGTCGGGCCAGAGAGTCCCCTGGGGGCCAGGCACCCTGGTCTCTGCCCACTTCATGCCAGGAGCACACACTCCCTGCCCCAGATGTTAACAGGAAAGGTCCTAACACAGGACCTCATGTCCCCTGGGGGCGGCATCACCAGCGAAGAGGCCCTGCTCTCTGTGGGGAGGTCAGCAGCTAGCAGCAGGCCCTGGCCTCAGACGCCCTGGACTTGAACCCTACCCCACCGCTCAGCATGCTGGGCGAGCCACGTGACCTCCCTATACCTCCCCCGTAAGCTCTCTCCTAGACTGGCTGCAAAGTCAGAGGGATCTGTTCATGACGAGGGCCCGAGACAGCCCCTGCCCCATAGTAAGCGATGGATAAACACTAGCTGCTATCATGAAATGAACTGCTCACAAAAAGCCTGCTCAGAAAGCAAAGGCAAGATGGTTGATGCGCAAGCGGGTGGAGGCAGAGGCAAACACAGTAATCGGCCCCTTCCCCAGCATGAGCCGCTTGGGGCATCCTTCACCTGGCTTTTACAGGAGGAGGCCACCCCAAGGCTCCCCACCCTGGCAGGATGCAGCCCAACTGCATACCTGGCCATGGGCTGAATGCTGTGAGGCCCCAAAGTCCGTATGCGCAAGTCCTTCCCCAGACGGGACGGTGTTAGGAAGAAGGGCCTCAGGTTTAGAGGAAGTCAGGAGGCTGGGGTCCCCTGATGAGATCGGTGCTCCTGAGGAGTCACAAGACAGCCTGTTTCCCCTCTCTAGTCTCCCCCATGTTGGGATACTGTGAGAAGGCAGCTGTCTGCGCCCCGAAGAGAGCCAGGACCCAACCGTGTTGGCCGCCTGACCTGACTTCCGGCCTCCAGGACTAGGAGACCTAACTTTCTGCTGCTCATGCACCATCAACCTGTGGTGCTCTTCGCAGCAGCCCCACGGCCTGAGAGAACAGGAGCCTGCCCGCTCAGCCGAGATGGGCCCCCACCTCTACGGGTGCTGAGGCCCGCCCCCCAGCAACTGCTCAGATGGCAGGTGTCACAGAGGCTCTACCCAGGCCCCAGAGGCGTGGGGCACAGCAGAGGGCAGAGGAATCCGGGGCACCTGCCAACTTGAACAGGCACCCAGGCTGAGGGCACTGCCCGGCCGGGGCGCGCAGGCGGTAATCGGCATAGGATGCGTCAGTCTCGGGGAAACCCGACCCACTCGCAGAAGCCCTAACCAGATTTTCATTTTTAAACTCAAATACTTTGAAGTTCAGCCTATTTTGGAGAAAAACAGTTCAGATTCCAATATGAAAACTGGTCAAAGGAACTAATTCACAGCACTCTCACCTACGAAGACGTGTGATGTTCCAAACATTAGTCAGCTCCCGGGACGGGTTTCTGAAAACTAGACAGGGGGATGAACGCCAGCTCCGTGGTCCCAGCAGGGCAAGCTGAGGCTGCCCGATGCCCTCTTCTCTCCTCTGTTAACAAGGGGCAGTCCCCCTGACCCCCAGAGACCCTGGGAGAGGGAGGCCGTGAGTCCGCCGCGGTGCAGGCCGGCCCCTCTGCCACCAGCTCCCCACGCCTCACTGCCTCACCTCACTGATGCTCACGTGTCACCTTCTCAGTAGGGCATCTGGACGCTCTGACTGAAGATTACGCCCCAGGTCCAGGCTGCTGTCGCCACCTCCCACCTCTGTCTCGACCCAGGGCGCTTGTCTCCTCCCTGCAAGCTCCAGGCCTCCTTACTGACCCAACGTGTAGGTCAGTGCTTGTCCCCCTCACCAGAACACACACTCCAGGCCAGGGACTTCCTGGGGGCACCCCAAGCCCTAAGAGTCTGACCCATCACAGAGGCTCATCAAATACTGGGTTGTTTTACATCATAGACAACCCCAAAAACAAAAAGCAAAGCTACTGAGAGCCGTCTCCAGAAAGGCTACTGAGCACCAGGCACGGGGTACAAGACATGCGCTGATCGCATCCTTGAGTTTATGACCTGGAGGCAGTCATTCCACACCCCAGACTCTGCCCCCTACAGACTCTGAGCCACGTGCAGGTGTCCCGGCGGGGGAGGGGGTGTCATTGGAAGCTGCCGAAGGAGGTGCAGCCTCTGAACGTGCAGTTGGCCTGGCCCCTGAGCTGGAAATGTCCCCCTGGGACAACCGGGGCACACTTAGAAGGGAGACACAGTCCCCTGGGGCCTGGTGCTCACTGTGGGCCTCTCACAGCCAGGCCACAAAAGCCACACACCACACCCTCCACCCAGAGGAGAGAAGCACTCAGCTGGGGACACAAAGAAAAGTCTCCGGCTTCTCCTGCCTGGGAAGGCCTGTGGGCACGTGGATCACAACCTCAAGGTCTTCCAAGGGCACGAGCTCCTGTGGCAAAGAGGACGGAACGCCCGCTAACCCCCCACACCGAGAGGCCTCCAGCCCCTCTCCCTCGCAGCACTGCCCGTCATCTCCTCGCGCCCCCGCCCACCTGCAGGACAGGATGTGTGGCTCTCGCTGACGGACTTCACCAGCCGAGGTCACCGCTCGGGACCGAAGGAGGCTCTGCCGAAGGCTGTGGCTCCTGCTCGGGGCCCGGCGCCTCCTGCGGCTTGCGGCGCTCCTGCCGCTGGCTGTGGTTGCGCAGGACGTGGTGGGCTGTCTCCATGACCACGTCGGTGTTCAGGCTCTCGGCTGCCACGGCCAGGAGCCCGTCATCGTCCTCGCCAGCATCCCAGGCGTCGCTGGTGTTGCTCTCAAACTCCGGGAAGTGCTGAGGCTCTTGGCCTTCATGGGTGTGGCAGGCGCCTTGGGCGCACCCTTGAGCAAGCTGCAAAGCAAAGGCAGACTTCAGCTGTCCCCTCGGAGGCTGGAGCGGACTCACCCCACGACCGGTCAGAAAGGAGCCCATGGATGAAGGGTGCACATTCAAGCTTCCAGTGTCAACTGAGCTGAGGGTGAAGAGCAAGCACAATCCAAAGAGGCATCCGAGAGAGGACTCCTGGGGCACCCAGGGGGCTCAGTCGGTTAAATGTCTGCCTTCGGCTCAGGTTGTGACCCCGGGGTCCTGGGATCGAGCCCCACATCGGACTCCCTGCTCGGTGGGGATTCTGCTTCTCCCTCGCCCCCCTCCCTACCCCCCCACTCTTGTGCCCTCGCTCTCTTTCTCAAATAAATAATCCTAAAAAAAAAAAAAAAACAGAAGAGGATTCCTAGGATTCGGGGGCAGGAAGGAGAGGCTCTCGAGGGGCAGTACCGCTGAGCAGTCTCTGCTCAGTGACAGAAGCCACTCAGGAGGAACCCCAGCACCGCAGTCACGGCATTCACAGGGAGTCCCCAAACCTCACCCGGGCCAGTGCCCGCAAACCTCCTAAGGCAGCAGTGGGGGCGGCGGGGGCAGGAGCGGCTGTCCTTCGGCGTGCAGACGCGACACAGCACCACTAGAGCAAGAGCCCCCGCGGGGGGCCCAGTGACACCCGCCAGCACGGGCGGGGGGCCACACCAGCCCCCTGCGTGGCTCTGGTGGAGGAGCCAGACGCAGGGGCAGAGCGTGCAGTGGAGGGCAAGGGAAGTGAGCTGACCACCGAGAACAGGCCCGGGGCCAGGCCCTCCCGTCAGCTAAGGGGGTGCCAGCTTCGTGCTCTCCTCCACTTTGGGCTGGGCTTCCACCTCTGCCCTTGTCCGGAGGACCAGTCGTGCGAGGCCCTGACGCGTGTCTGCTCGAGGGAAGACCACGCTGCTCCCCTCAGGACCCCGAGGAGGCCGGCGGGTCACCAGGACGCCCAGGCGCGTGCGTGATGCAGCATGACCACAGGCCTCACTTACGTGCCGTGTAACAGTGGGTCGAAGGGGGGGTGCTGGGCGCCGTACACATGCTGGATGCTGTTTAAAAAGAAAGGAAAACCGATTAGCTTCTCTCCGGCTTCCTCAAGAGCCCACACTAACTCGGGAAAAGGACCAGTTCCCAGTAACCTACACGCCTGAGCAGCAACTCTCCCTCAGCTGCCATGGGTCCCGAGGGCCCGTCTGGAAGGGATGAATGGCGCCACCCAGGTCCACGCCACACACAGAACGGGGCATTCAGCCTGCCGGGCAAATGGGCCTCAGCCCGGGGAGCCGCAGCCCTGACCGCATCGGCAGGGCCTCAGGCGCCGCTGCCGACGAGGCTGCTGGGAGCTGGGAGCCACTCAGCATCGCCCAGTTCCAGCAGCCTCTGCTCCCGGACCGTGTGCCAGCGGCAGGACTACGAACTAATGCTGAAATGCCCGTCTGGAAATTCCCATCTGCTGCCATTTCGTCAAAGACAGAATGCAGAATCACAAAAAGAAGATAAATGTGTTTTTTAAAGACTTAATGATTTTATTATAAAAGTTTTCTGGGGGCACCCAGGGCGCTCAGTCAGTTAAGCGTCTGCCTTCAGGTCAGGTCATGATCCCAGGGTCCTGGGATTGAGCCCCACATCGGGCTCCCTGCTCCGCGGGAAGCCTGCTTCTCCCTCTCCCACTGCTGCTCCCCCACTCGTGCCCTCTCTCTCTCTCTCTCTCTCTCTCTCTCCCTCTCTAATTAAGTAAAATCTTTTTAAAAAAGATAAAAATTAAATTTAAAAATAAAGTCTTCTGTTCATCAGAGTAAACTTGGAAAACAGATGGAAACAAAACAGCCCCCGTGGCAGACACCAGGGCGGTCCACTGAGTGGCCGCACCCGCACCCCTTCCTCGGCGGGGGCGTCCAGCCAGGGGAGGCCCTGTGACCCAGCGCAGCTCAGTCACCAGCAGTGTGGGCCCTTCCTCATCTGCCTGGAACACACATGTGAGGCCTAGATGTTCCCCAGCCTCATGCCACCATGAGAAATGAGCAGGAGATATCAACCACCCGAGAACGCGGGCACGGCAGGAAGATGAGAAAGAGCACAGGTCTCGGGGGCACTGCAGCCCTGCCAACACCTTCATCTTAGCCCAGCACCAGAACTATAAGACAGCAAGTGTGTATTATAAGCCAATAGGGTTATGCTGATTTGTTACAGCAGCAGCAGAAAACCAAAAGAGAACAGAATGGTGACAGACAGGTGACAAAGCCATCCTCTTGGCTTATGGAAGCTTAAAGGTCTCTGTGGTTAAGTCAACCTCACTTTTATGCGTTACACGGGGCTCTCCTTTGAGGACTCTACTTAAAAAGGCCCACCCCCAACTGTCTTCGTCCATCCCGGCTGCTATAACAAAAATACCACGCATGTGGCAGCTTATAAACAAAGACATTTATTCCCCACAGTTCTGGAGGCTGGACGTCCAAGATCAAGGTGCTGGCAGATTTGGTATCTGGTGAGGGCCTCAGCTGGTGCCTTCTGCTGCGTCCCCACCCAGCGGAAGAGGCAGGGAAGCTCTCTGGGGTCTCTTTTATAAAGGCTCCAATCCCACCATGGGGGACTCTGGCCTCAGGACCTCCTCACCCCCTCAAAACCCCCACCTCCTAACACCCTCAGTCTGGTGGGTAGGGCTTCCTGTGAGTTTTGGGAGCGCACGAACATTCAGCCCAGCCGACTTACTGAGATGGCATAAATCTCCAACTGTGTCCTAGTTCCACACTTGTGTGGTTTTATTTTTTACCCTTGAGTATTGAGTCACCTAGAATTTATTTTATTTTGCTACAGACTGTAGAAAACATTTTTTTCTTTTGACAGAGAGAGAGAGAGCGATAGCAGGAACACAAGCAGTGGGAGTGGGAGAAGGAGGCTCCCCGCCGAGCAGGGAGCCCGATGTGGGGCTCGATCCCAGGACCCTGATATCATGACCTGAGCCGAAGGCAGACGCTTAAGGATTGAGCCACCCAGGCGCCTGCAGAAAACTTTTTTAAAAAATAATCCACTGCTCCAATGACATTGGTTAAAAACCTATCCTATTCCCTACTGGTTTGCGGACACTGTCTTCAATACGCAGGAGATTACTCTATGCTGGGGCATTTTTTCAGTTTTCCATTCATTCCTCCATGTCTGTGCCTGTGACACAACATTTTAATTACAGAAAATGTTCCCTTTTATATCCTAAAATGTTTCAGCAAAATTTAACGGACATTCGATAGCCCCCACATTGCGACGGGGTTATGAGGAGTACGAGGCAGGCAAAGACAAGCACACTGGACTCCAAACTCGCACGAACCTTTAAGTTTACCTACAAAAATAAAAAAAATGAATTGGCATTTATAATGTTCTTGGACAACAAAAACATGGTAAACTGGAATATTATTCAGTGAAATAGTCATCAGCTAAAAAATAAAGTGCTAGCTCACGCTGTAACACGGAAGAACCTTGAAACCATCACGCTACGCGTGGGAAGCCAGTCATGAAAAAACACCTATTCTGGGGCGCCGGGGTGGCTCAGCCGTTGGGTGTCTGCCTTCGGCTCAGGTCCTGATCCCGGGGTCCTGGGATCGAGCCCCACGTCGGGCTCCCTGCTCCGAGGGAGGCCTGCTTCTCCCTCTCCCACTCCCCCTGCTTGTTCCTGCTCTCACTAACACTCCCTCTCTGTCAAACAAATAAAAATCTTAAAAAAAAAACACCTATGATCTCACTGACATGAAATGTCTAGAAGGGAGACAGAAGGGAGACTAGTGGTTGCCTGGGTGGAGGATGGGAGACTGGGGTGACAGCAGAAGACTACAGGGCTTCTTCCTGAGGGGACAAACATATTCTAACGTTGACTGTGGCGACGGATACACCGCAGTACCACTGACTTTCACCCCTTAAATGAGGGAATGGTGTTGTACGTGAATTTTAATGGGTGAACTATTATTATATGTGAGTCTCAATGAAGATGTAAGTTTTTAAAGGCAGCACAGTTTCCACCTGGTTCTCTTGGGTTCTCCCTTGGAACCCAGCCACCAGGCTTTGAAGAAGCCCACATGTAAGCACTAGAACCAACAGCTTCAAGGGGGTGTCCCAGCTGATGACGGCCGGCATCAACCTCGACAGGCATGAGTCACCAGCCTTCTTCTGATTTCCCTCCCAGCCTCTGAACCTTCCCAGTGACACCATGGAAAAGAGACCAGTCTGACCCACAGAATCCAGGAGGGTTTGGGGGTTTGTTGTCATTGTTGGAAAGAAAGAGTATCAGCCCACGGAGGTCATGCACAACCCCTCTGTCGTGGTCCCTTTCCAGAAATCTCTTGGAGGCTTCCCCGACCTTGGTAGGTTTCCTGTTTTAAGAAGCAAAGGGCCTGGGTAATTGCTCTAGGCTTTAGCTTCCTCGTCTCGGAAATGGGAATAAGAACGTGTAAGAAATGAGACAGCCATAAATGGCAGCAGCTTGACTACCGCCAAGTGACCTACAGACAGCATTCACCGGTACTATGCACCTACCTTGCTGGCTTGCACCCTTCCCTTATGTCTCAGTACACGAATAGGGCTCAAAACCAGCAGGCAGTGGGCCTCTGCCCTCTATGTGCAAGGCATTTCCATGGGTCTTGCAGTGTTACCACAAGCTGCAGGCCCCTTGCCTCCCAGGAAAGCGCCAGTGCATTAATTCTTCATGGGCACACCACTTGTGTTTATTGAGCAGAAAATGTTCCAGCAAAGTTCAAGCTCAGACTAAAAGGCATCTCATTTTATCTTATTAAAATTGCATTTTTATCTGGTCTTGCATAGCCAAAAAGAAAAACAGGCTTCATCTAAAGCCATTTTAAAAGAATAAGTAGCACATCATGAAATCTTTCTTTAAAAAATATGTTCACCAATAAACTTTTTAATGAATTGTACTGCTTAAAAACACCACAGTAACTCATTGCTTTAAAGAGGACCCCAGTGATTCCTCACAAAAAGCAGATACACACGACATAATGCCACTTCTAGGCACACGCCATGAAAACCCCTTGTGTAAGGACGCAGGAGGCAGGTTCAGCGATGTCGCTAACGCTAAAAAGAAAAAAAAAATTAAGAAAAACTTTTATCCATCATCAACTGAAGAATGAATTCACATTATCCCTTTGTCCATTATCAACTGAGTAACAAATAAAGGAACAAATGAGGAACATACACCTATAATGGAATACTAACCACAATGAAAACGAAGGAACTACAAGAACCAAGATCGGTGAACTTACAAGCCTACCACTGAAGAGTAACTTGAATATGCACAGTATGATGTCATCTATAAAAAGTTTTTAAAACGAGAAAATGAAACTATCTACCGTGTCGGATACATACATGGTGGTCAAAACTCCCAGCTCATGATGGTGATGAAAACAAACGGAGAATAGGATGGGAGCGGAGGGCTGGGGGTGGAGGGGACTCTGGGGCCGGGAAGAGGATGCAATGGCTTCAACTCCGAAGAGCCAAAGTGCTCAAACAGTCCCGAGGCCCATCGGTGGGTGACCAGGCACACGCCGGAATATACCGTCAGCTTCCAACAAGGAATGAAGGGCTGACAGCCGCTCCCACGTGGAAGAAGCCTGGAAACATCATGCGCAGTGAAAGGAACCAGTCACGAAGACCACATTCATATGATCCCACACACATGAATAAGCACATGTCCAGAATAAGCAAGTCTACAGAAACAGAAAGCAGATGAGTGGCAGCCAGGGGCTGGGGAGGAGGGACTGGGGAGTCACGGCTGGTGAGGCAAATGCTCTAAAATTGACTATGGTGATGATCGTCCAACTCCACAGACTAAAAACACTGAACTGTACACTTTAAGTGAGTGAAATAGAGGACAGGTAAATGACGTCTCCACAAAGATGCTGAAAGGAAGGGAGGAAAGGGGGGGGAGGGAGGGAGGGAGGGAGGGAGGGGGAGAGGCGGAAGAAGCAGGAGGGTCTCCTCCCTGACCGGGTGTCCGGGAAGGTGGCTGTGCCGCGGGGGGTGAAGGCTGGAGCAAGGCAGCCCTTCTGCACCA